ATAGGACAGCAGAGCGTGAAGCCACTGGAAACACTCCAGCAAAGTTGATGTTTGGTCGGGAACTTCGGTTGCCAGTAGACCTGATAACAAGACGCCCACCTTACGAAGAGTTGCCTGAAAATGTGTGAGAGTTCGTGAAAGTGTTATATGAAAGGATAGATGATATTCACCATCAAGTGCATTCAAACTTGAAAACGTCTGCTGATTCCATGAAGCTATGTTATGATAAGAGATCTACTGAAGTCAGCTTTGTACCAGGAGACAATGTGTGGTTGAATAATCCCAAGAAGACCAAAGGGAAGTCTCCTAAGTTGTCTTCTCTATGGGAAGGCCCATATGAAATAGTGGATCGTCTCTCAGACGTGACTTTCTGAATAAAATGTGGTCGGCGAGGTAAGCCAAAGGTAGTGCATGCCAACAGGCTTTGGCGTTATCATGGTCCAGGATATTTCAGATTGAACGAATTGAACAATGGAACAAAAGACGTTGCTGAAGACGTGTCACCTGAAAAAGCCACTGTCGAAGAAGAAACTCTACTCGGTTTTGAGAAGTGAAACAGTGAAGCCCTTAATGAAGTTACTACCACTGATGTGACTAACCGATAATAGGATATTTCCTGATGGAACAGATGAACCCCACGTGAAGCAGAAGCCAACGAGATGGAGACCAGTACGAAAGAAGATATGTCCCATAAAATTAAGAGACTTTGTTGAATTTTAATTTTGTGTTCGTAAATTCTGTACATTTAATCAAGTTATTGTTAATTATCTATTGGTTTTATGTAAGTGGCTATTGTTCGGGACGGACAATACTAAGGAAGGGGCAGTGTTATGACAGCGGAAGTCACGCAGTGCTGGTAACATGTGATGTGTTTCTAGAAGGATCAGGGAACCTCACAAATATCCCAGTATTTGCCTGACGCCCTCTTTTTTAGTATATAAGCCCGGCAAATAAAACGAGATAAGAATTGCAGATAGATAGATATAGAGACAGGTAATTGAGCCAAGTGAGCGTAGTGACCATAAGTAAAGTGCGTGAATCGTTATGAATTAAAGCGTGTGTTTAAGTTAAAGTGACCATGGAAATTCTGTGTATTGCAATGTTGTACTGAGAAAGACTAAACTAGTTTTATTTAAGAAAGGACTTGTGTCGCTGAAGTTCCTCGGGAAGAATTTATACCGGAAATTAACAAACGAACAGAGATGTAACAATATCCTGTTTGCCGTAATTCTCACAAA